AAAAAAAAAAAAAAAAGAAAGAAAGAAACAAACAAACAAACTGGGTGTGGTGGCACAGACCTTTTTTTTCCCCCCTTTGGTACTGGGGCTCAAACTCGGGACCTTGCACTTAGGATGCAGGCCGCAGTACAGACCTTTAATCCTAGCACTATGGGAGTCTGAGGCAGGACAATCACGAGTTTGAACCCAGCCTCAGCAACTTAGTAGTTTAGTAAGACCCTGTCTCAAAATAAAAATAAAAATGGGGTTTGGCATGGTGGCACACGCCTGTAATCCTAGCACTTGGGAGGCTGAGGCAGGAGGCTCACAGCAAGTTTGAGGCCAGCTTGAGCTATGTAGTGAGACCAATAAATAAAAAGGCTAGGGCTATGGCTTAGTGCTAGAGTCCTGTGTTTAATCCCCAGTACCACTTAAAAAAAAACCCGACAAAAAACAAAACACGGAGGCAGGGATGTAGCTCAGTGGCACTGTGGTTGCCTCGTAAGCGCAAAGACCTAAGTTCCATCCCTGGGTACCGGAAAAAAAAAAAAAGCCAGACATATATCCATGTAGTTATAGTTTCTGATGATATTGCTTATCTTTTGTGTATAGATCAATATTTCCATCTGGAATTATTTCACTTTTTTTTTTTTTTTTGGTACCAGGGATTGAACTCTGGACCTTCAGATTGCAAGGCAGGCAGCAGAACCACTGAGCTAAATCCCCGACCTGGGAATTATCTCACTTTTGCCTAAAGAACTTTCTTCAGTGTGTTTTATAGTACAGTTCTGCTAGTGATGAGTTAGCTCTTTGTGGTTCTGTGAGCTGCAGGAATTGCTCTTCCTTCCTGCTTGGGGTGGGATCTTTTTCTAGTCTGTTTCATTTTTTTTGGTTCTGGGGATCAAACTCAGGACCTTGTGCCTGCGAGGCAGGTGGCAGGCAGCACCACTGAGCTACAGCCCCAGCCCTTTTTCGAACCTGTTTACTCACATTCCTGCTCCATAGATCATGTTTAGCCGAAGACTGGAGGCAGTCTCTTGTGTAGAACTCTGACGTGCTTTTTCTGTAGTTTTCTCCCCACTGTTACTCTGCCTTGCAGATTTAGCAGTCTTGCTCACTCCCAAGCCATCCTTTTGAACTCAGGCCAACTTCAGGGTTCACCTGTTTCCTGTCCTCACACCTTCACCTGGGAATGCCAAGCCATAAGATGGAACAGTCATAGGATGTGTACTTCCCTCTCTCCTCAGTGTTCATGCTACCTTAATCCAGGATCTGAAACTGTTATTTTGTCTACTTATTTTATCTGTCTAGTTGTTTAAAGTGGGAGGATAAATCTATTCCATGTTACTCTATCCTGACTCAAATAGATACCTAGAGGGCCGGGGATTTAGCTCAGTGGTTCTGCCGCCTGCCGATCCCAGTACCAAAAAAAAAAAGAAAAAAAGAAAAAAAGAAAGAAATAGATATCTAGAGATGTCATACTTTAATTGTGATCACTCTATACGTGCAACTTTTGTGTTCTTTTTTTCACTTAACAGTATGATGTAGCATTTCCATGTTTTTATATTCTACTAATGAAATACAACTGTAGAGATAAGTTAGAACTATCCAAATGCAGGTACTTAGTTAGTCCTATATTGATAAATTATTTCAGTTTTTTATTGTCAAAGCGTCTGCCTGAAGTTCTAAAAGTTCCCAATATCTTGATTATAGTACACCTGACATGGAAGAAATATTGACTGAATCAGAAATTAAATTGGATGCCGTCAGACAAAAAATATTACAGGTGGCCCAAGAGCTGTCAGGAGAAGACATGCATCAGTTCCATCGAGCCATTACCACAGGTAAGTCTAGGTTCACTGAGTGTATTTTTAAGAAATAATGTGCTACATGACATATTTGAGTGGCATGAGTTCTAATTGGTATCTGGTGAAATACAATTACCTTTAAAAAAAAACTGGGACTTTTAGGTAATGTAAAAGTAATTCATAGCATTCATTTGGCTTTATTTTTCTAACAACATATATAGTTATTGCTTGATTTTATTTTTTTATTTTTTGGTACTAGGGATTGAACTCAGGACCTCGCATATACCAGGCAGGCACTCTGCCACTGACCTACATCTCTGGCTTGCTTGATTTTAACAAAGTAATTGAGAACACAAGCCTAACAGATTGAACTTTCTTCATGAGTTTGTATAGTGTGTTTACCTTTCTAACTATAGGGAAATCTAACTGATGGCTTTAAGTTTCCATTTTCCTAGGTTCATGAAAGAGAAGGTCTCACCTAGCCAGATGAACTCAAACAGCTTGTAGTGTAACTCTATAGCTGTTGGTATTGGGTTGTATATATTTAAAAAGGTTTAGGGAGTGCTGGATCTTGGTTATCACAGTTTTCAGATGCAAAATTCTTGGTTCTTCCCTCTTGATTTATTTTTTTAATTTTAGAGACAGAGACTCACTAAGTATTCGGGCCGGCCTTGAACTCACTGTGTAGGTCAGGCTGGCCTTGAACTTACATCAATCCTCTTACCTCATTGTTATGGTTCATGTTTAGCTGTCCCCCCAAAGCCTCATGCTTCTTTTTCAGAAGTAGTTGAATCTGGAATGTGTGATGCTGTGGTTAAGGGCGTGTGATTACTAAGCTACTACATGGAGTGATTAGTGTGGCACCGCCCTAGTCCCAGTAGTCTGAATAAGATAAAAGGGGCAGGAAGCTGCTGTTAAACTCTGAACTCTCTTGTTATCCTTTGCTGCCTTGAGTGTGCCACGTTTCTGCTCTGCTGTGCCTGTTTGTTATCCCTGCCTTGGAGTGAGCCAATTATGGTCTGCAACCTCCACAAACTGTAAACCAAATAAACCCCTTCCCCTCCAACTTTGAGTGTCAGGTATTTTGTCTCAGCAACAAGAGAAAAGTAGCTAATACACTTAGGCTCCCGGGTGCTGGAATTACAAGTGGCTCTTGGTTTTGTTTTGTTTTGTTTTTTAACCCTAATTCATGGACAACCTGAGTTCACGATATAATTCAGATACACCCTCCCTAAGACTTGCAGAAAGAATGGAAATGCTCAGTACTCCTTATATATGTTCAATTTTAGTCTAAATTCTTAAAATAGCACTTGCTTTTTGGAAATGCTGAAATGTCTTTCAGTATTGGTAATAGAAGGTACCAGCATTATTTGTTAAAGAATGGGGTGCATTATTGTAACTGAGGTGGTATCTCTGGCTGTTCTGTTGTCATAGTCCCGTTGTAATAATTTATTATTGTCAGGTTTATTAAAAAATAGCACACAAGAGCAAACATGAGAGAAGCCCCCAAGCATATCCATTATTGAATGCAGTCTTGAGAAGAAATCAGGAGCTAGGGAGCTTTGAAGTCATCTAGTGAGTTACTGCTGAATATCTGCCATGATGCACCAGCCAGGGCTGCCAGGGAGTAGGCACTCCTTATCTTGCTAGGATAGAAGAAACTGTTACTGGGACCAGGTACAATTAGCAGGCGAACCACAAGGTTAGTGTGAAGCAATAATTCAGGGGACAGGATTTTAATTGGGGTCACGCTGACCTCGGCTGCACATAATTCAGCAGGGCCCTGTCACTTCACAGACCAGAACTTAGACCTTGGTGACAGCCATTAGCAAAGGAACAATACTAGCCCCAAACTCTGCTAGCTGACATGCCTGTTTGAGTCACGCAGGGCTTCAGTGTGACTCCTGATAAAAAACAGTATAGTATACCCGAATTAGGGAAGGCACCAAGCATGTGCCATAGCCCTTTAGTACTGGGCGGGGATATCTCCTGTATCATCTTACCCCAGAAAGAGTGGCTATCATCAGAAAATCTAATAATAACAAATGCTGGCAAGGATGTGGGGAAGAAAGAACTCTTTTTACATTGGCAATGGGAATATAAACTAGTATAACTACCAGGGAAATCAGTGTTGAGATTGCTCAAAAAACTAAAAATAGAAATTCCATTTGATCAGCTGTCCCTCTTCTAGGAATCTTCCAAAGAGTTAAAGTAGCTGAGTATGGTGGTATGTACCTGTAACCCCAGCACTTGGGAGGAGGCAGGAGGATCGCGCCACAAGTTCAAGGCCAGCCTGCACCCTGTCTCAAAAACAAAAACAACAAAACTAAAAGTCATTATATTATAAGGATACATGTTTGTAGCAGCATAATTTGTAATATCTAGGTCTTGGAAATAGCATTATATGTCTAACAACGTAAGAATGGGTAAAGAATGTGTGTTAAATATATACAGTGGGGTACTACTTTGCCATAAAGAAAGATAAACTTGCCAGGTGTGGTGGCTCACACATATAAAACCAGCACTCAGGAGGCTGGAGCAGGAGGATTATCATGAGTTTGAGGCCATCTTGGGTTACATAGTGACTTCAAGGCCAGCCTGAACTACCTAGGGAGATCTTGTCTCAAAAAAAGAAGGAAAGGGGGAAAAGGGGAAAGGGAAGAAAAGAAAAGAAGGAAGAACTTGAGGTATATGTAGGCAAATAGATGCAACTTGAGAATATAATGTCAAGTGAAATAAGTTAGACTCAAGCTTAAATATGACAGTTTCTCTTATATGAGAAACTAAAAGAATTATACACACACACATATATATATATGTCTTAGAATAGAAGAGAGAAATAGGAAGTAAAGAGAAGTCTAAATTCTCTAAATTATTCTGTTTAAAAAAATTTAATATCTATGCTAATTTGTCTCATACTAGTTTCTCTTAGTTCATTGAAGGAAGGTTTTATGCTTTTATTTATTTCTTTGTTAAGAGAGAGTCTTTTTTACCTATGACTTGTATTCTGAGTGACTGTCTTAGTTACTTTTCTCATAGATGAGACAAAATACCTGACACTCAAAGTTAAAGGAGGGAAGGGTTTATTTGGCTCACAGTTTGTAGAGGTTTCAGTCCATAATAGGGTGGCTCAGCATAGAGGCATTGCTGAGAAATGGCAGCCACAAGGTAGCAAAAGTAACAAGGAACCTTAGCAGTGTCTTTCTGCCCTTTTATCTTATCCAGATCAGGACCTTCCAATCCAATCATTATACTAGTTTAGTTATCACATACCCTTAATCCCAGCATCATACACTCTAGATTCGGCCACCTCTGAAAAAGCTACCCATGGGCTTTAGGGGGACAGCTAGACCCAAACCATAACAGTAACATTGTTAAGTTTTCTTTCTTGTAAGATTTTTGGTTTTCTTGAGAGGATCTTGCTATGTAGTTCAGGCTGGCCTTGAAATGACCATCCTGGTCTATTGAACTCACAATGATACTCTTGCCTCAGCCTACCAAGTGCTGGGATTACAGGTGTGTGCCACCATGCCTGGCTTCCCTTTAAAATTACGATACACAGTGTATTAACTATTGTTATTCTTGTATTATTTTGTTATGAAATTTTTACTTTTTCATAGAAAAATGCTTTTTAATATTTTCTTTATTTATATCTACTTAAATCACATTAAAAAAATAGAAACCAGCAGCTATACAGATTGGGATTGTAGATTGTAGTTTCTCACAGCAGAAAGGCAAGTGTACTCTTAGAAGGAATTTAGATACGGATTGTGAGTGACGTGGTTTGTTTTCCCTGCAGGCTCCTACCTCAGCTTGTTACTGAGAATTAGAAGCACCAGAGTGTTTTAGGCCCTTGTGGTTTGTGAGTTTTCTTTGAGGATAACTTATAAAATTAAGAATTGCCTATATTTCACTTTACTAAGAACATCTTTAAAATGAAGTTCTTTGAATTGAAGCAATAGATGTTTTTTCCTTAAGGTTAAGAAGTAAAGCAGTCAAATGAAGAAGCATCTGGGACTTAAAAATTTACGGATAGATATTTTATTTGATAAAATAAAGCTATTTATAATTAGAGTAGCATTAACAATAGGATGCTTATGAATAGCCTGCTGTTTGTAATTGTTAAGTGCTTATTTTGGTGTAACTCCAAATACTTATTCTTTTGACTTGAAGGTAAAACAGTTTTGGCATTGAACTAAAGGAGTTCTGTGCTTGTTAAGAATAGTGCAAATGGCATGCAGAGCATTTCCCCAAAGGAGACTTGTGTGAACTGAACTTTACTGTCCTGTATTGAATGACAACAAAACCTTAGGTCTGTTTTCTATACATTGCTTATCAGATTAGGTTACAGACTGTCCCAAGGGATGAGCAAGGGAATGAATAATCAGTTGCTTGAAATTAGTCACTTAAAAAAACTTTATGCCCTGTTATATTTTCCCTTCTCCACAAAAGGAGAAATTAACAGGTGAAGCAAGGGAATGCTTTCCATTAAAGGGAAAAAAACGTTTTTTGTTTTTTGCTCATATTATCACTGGTAATCAGAATTGCCATCTTCTATTTTTAATTAATTAATTAAAAATTTTGAGACAAGGTCTCACTGTATAATCTGGGCTGGCCTTGAACTCATTGTTGTAGCACAGACTGGCCTTGAATTCATGGCAATACTTCTGTCTCAGACTCCCAAGTCCTTCGAGTACAGGCGTGTGCTACCACATCCAACCAACAGTATACATTTTTTAGACATTTTGATGCCAAGTGCTAAATGTTTAGACCCTAAATAATGCTTACTTATTTTATCCAGGATTGTGAATGATGGATTAAATGAATGTTTAGGAGTTAAACTTTTTTTTTTTTTTAGAGACAGAATCTCACTATGTTCCTCAGCCTGGCCTTGCTTTTCTGGGGCTCAAGTAATCTTCCTGACTCAATCTTTTCAAGTAGCTGGGATTATAGGCATGCACGAGTGTGCTCAGTGTGGTAATTTTTTTTTTGTTTGTTTTTGTTTTTGAGACAATGTCTTTCTATGTAGCCCAGGC